TGGCACAGTGCCAAGCCACAACCACCCTCAGAGGCTGACTTTACTGCTACCCACATTGTAGAGAAGAGCATGGTGAGGCACAGAGACAGAAAGTGAGTAAATGGAAGAGCTGAGCTGGGTAGCCCCGTCTGTCTGATTCCTAAACCTGTGTTGTTTTCACTGCTTTATGCTGCCCCTCACAGCCACATGCTGTTTTGACCCTGGCCTCATCCACTAGGGTTAAGATGGTGGATTCTAGGGCGCCTGGGTGGCTCAGTCGGTTGGGCGACTGCCTTCGGCTCAGGTCATGATCCTGGAGTCCCTGGATCGAGTCCTGCATCGGGCTCCCTGCTCGGCAGGGAGCCTGCTTCTCCCTCTGACCCTCCCCCCTCTCATGTGCTCTCTCTCTCTCATTCTCTCTGTCTCAAATAAATAAATAAAATCTTTGGAAAAAAAAAAAAAAGCACTAGGTGGGTACAAGATTTATGCCTTTAGGGGTGCCTGGCTGGCTCAGTCGGTAGAGCATGTGATTCTTGATCTCAGGGTCATGAATTCAAGCCCCAAATTGGGCATGGAGCCTACTTGGAAAAAAGAAAAGATTTAGTGCTTTTAGTTTGACTGCAAGTGCAATATGGGCCAATTCCTTCCTCAGTTATGAGAAGAAGAAAGGCTGAGATGAGGCTGATCAGCCTGGGGAGGAACAGTCCTGGCCTCCAGGTTTCAGAAGAGCAGAATCAAGCCATGTATGTAGAAGTTACTAGAAATAAGATTTGGGGGGCACCCGGGTGGCTCAGTTAAGTGTGGGACTCTTGATTTTGGCTCAGGTCATGATTTCAGGGTCATGAGATCGAGCCCCGTGTTGGGCTCTGTGCTCAGCAGGGAGTCTGCTTGAGATTCTCTCTCTCCTTCTGCCCGCCCCCCTCTCTAAAATAAATAAATCTTTAAACAAATCAGATTTGGCCCCATTGGGAAGAACAGTCAGTGCTGACCAGTGATGGGCTGGGTGTCTCATGGAAACTGATCTCCCCATCACCAGGAATGTTCCAGTAAGTATCCCTTCTTGGTGGTGTAACCAAGACAGTGCTGTGAAGAGAAAGAGCATGCACTTTGGATGGGACAGATGGAGATTCAAACTGGTGTGGCCTTAGATGAATCACCCTCTCTGAGCCTTCATTTCCTCTGCTGCCACATGGTCCCATGGGCCCCATGGAGCGCTTGCACCACACTGGAAATCCCTGGGTCCCTGGGTCACCTCTCAAAGCAGCCAACGCACATAAGCTGTTTATCGCACTTGCTGGCTCACCCTGAACATCCTCTGGCTGTCTCTACTTCCCTGCCCAAGGCGTCAAGCCTGTGCCAACCCGAGAGTGCCTCATGGCGCGCAGGCTTGCTGCTATCCAGCCTACGGAAGGGCAAGGTAGCAAGAGAAAGGAAGACCCTGCCGTATCTGTCGGGATGTGTTCAGTAGCAAGTAACAGAAGAATCCAGCTAACTGGGTTTCAACCATAAGGATTATTACTGCTCAGTTAACAAGAAATCGGAGACAGGTAGCTCCCGGGTGCTTCAGTGCCTCAGTGATGTGGTCAAGGAACTGGGGCTTGTTCTTTGCCCTCCGCCATCCTCAGGGCGTCCGTGATGTTTTTCTACAGAATCACAGCAAGGCGGCCCAAGCTTCCCCTCCTCACGGGACTTCTCCCAAGCAGGAAGAACTTTTTTTTCCTTTCCTGTTGCTCTTTTCCTGCAAGAAGTATCTTTCCCAAAGCCCCCTGCCGGCTTCCCCTTATATTCCACATGACCAACTTGTTCTGGTTTGCCTGGTACTTTTCTGGCTTATACTGAACTTTGCAGGTCATGGAACCCCCTTAGTCGTGGGCAAATATCTGTCTGGTTGGTCTCCCCACTTGCATCCCACTGGCCAGGGCTGGTTCACATGTCTATCCCTTGACCAATCCCTAGCAAAGGGCGTGGAAATACCACCAACTGGTTTAAACCAATGAGGATTCACCTCCTGGGGCGCTGGGCGCGTTGCCATTGGAACTGGTCTGGGGTTCTGTGGGCAAGGAAGCAGGATTGGCTGTTAGGTGGGCACCCTGCCGTGTCCACTACACTTGCTTCAATCAGAAATGAGCTGAATCCCCTCCTAGCCAAGGCTCTGCTCTCCCCCAGCATCACCGCTATCATGCTGTGTGTTTGTGACTAAGTGTGAAAGAATTAAGAGCATGACAAGGATGTTGGGGGAGGGGGGGGCGTGGAGGAGAAAGGCCTCAAATACAGGCTTCTTCTGTGGTCATGGGAAACAAGTTTATTTTTAATTTGACCTTCATGTGGCCTAATTAGTGTGCAGTTCTCCAGGCATGATACCCCAAAGGGCAGCTTTCAGGCAATAATAACAAAGATCAGAAAACATCTGGTCTCTCTCCTAAGCTGGTCTATCCTTTGACTGTCAGTTTGTAGAGACTAGGGAGGAGGGGGTCATCTGAACAAAAGGACAGAAGGGCCGGGCTGAGTGCAGGCTAAGAGGTCAGCCCAGCCCTGGCTCCATGGAGACACTGGGGTCACCCATCCCCCTCACTCACTTCTTGGCATCAGCTACACTCAGAACAGAACTGTTGAGTCTGACCTAGGTCTACCTGACATCAGATCTCATGATTTGTGAGGTTCCAGCTCCAGGGCCTGTCACCTTCTCTTAAAATTTTAAAGATGAAGACATTGAGAAGAAGTCATTTGTAAACCTGGAAATGGTGTTCCATTAATTAATTCATTCATTCAAACAAATATTTATTGAGTATGTACTATATGCCAGGCACTCTGGTATACGGGGTATCAAACAGTGAACATGACAAGTAAGACCTCCACCCTGAAGAAGCTGACACTCTGGAAGCAGACAAGAAGCAAAACTAACACGTACACACCATCATTAGTAATAAGTACAATAAAAAAAATAAAGCCAGAGAAGGGGATAGAGAATGACTAGGTAGATGCGGGGAGAGGTGCTTGCTTTTTTTTTTTTTTTTTTTAGATCAGGGGTCTACCGCTACACGCCTGTGAGCTGGCACCTATATTAGTAAATAAAATTTTATTGGAATACAGCAAAGCTCGTTTACTTACATATTATCTATGGTTGTGTTCATGCCACAAGGGCAGAGATGAGTAATCGGAACAGAGATGATAGAATCTACAAAGATGAAAATACTATCTGGCCCTTAAAAAAAAGTTTGCCTTCCCAGTGAGATACCATTTCACACCCACTAGAATGGTTATCATCAAAAAACAAATATCAGTGAGGATGTGGACACATTGGAACCCTTATGCACTGCTAATCAGAACGTAAAATGGAGCAGCCATTTTGGAGAATAGTCTGGCAGTTCCTCAGAGGGTAAACATAGAGTTACCATATGACCCAGAAATCCCATCCGCGGGTGTGTGCCCAAGAGAAATAAAAACATGTGTCCACACAAAAATTTGTACAAGAATGTTCATAGCAGCATTATTTATAATGGAAAAAAGTGGATGGGCGCCTGAGTGGCTCAGACAGTTAAGCATCTGCCTTCGGCTCAGGTCATGATCCCAGAGTCTTGGGATTGAGCCCCGCACTGGGCTCCTTGCTCAGTGGGGAGTCTGCTTCTCCCTCTGCCTGCCGCCCCCCTGGTTTGTGCTCTCTCTCTCTCTCAAATAAATAAAATCTAAAATAAATAACATGGATGAGCTGTGAAAACACTAGGCTAAATGAAAGAAGGCAGCCACAAAAGAGCAGATTATATGATTCCATTCATGTGACATGTACAGAATAGGCAATCTATAGAGACAGGCAATAGATTAGTGATGCCTAGGGCCAGGGAGGCTGGGGAGCGTTGGCTAAGGGTGCAGGATTTCTTTTTGGGGTGATGAATTGATTGTGGTGAAGGTTACACAACTCTGTGAATATACTAAAAGGCTTTGAATTGTATACTTTCAGTGGGTGAATTATTTGGTACATGACTTATGTCTCAATAAAGCCATGTTTTTTTTTTTTTAAAGATTTTATTTATTTATTTGTCAGAGAGAGAGCACAAGCAGGGGGAGCAGTAGGTAAGAGGGAGAAGCAGGCTCCCACTGAGCAAGGAGCCCACTGCAGGACTCCATTCCAGGACCCTGGGATCATGACCTGAGCTGAAGGGAGCCACCCTGGCGTCCCTGTAAAGCCATCTTTTAGAAGGTTTATCGACTTTTGTTCTAGATGGTCAAGGAAGGCCTCTGAGGAGGTGACTTTTGAGCTTCCTTTGTAATTGGCTCAAAGCTCTCAAACAGTAACAGATGACATTTTACTGAGCACCTATGTGCCAGACACGTGCAAAGCGTTTTATAATTACCACCTCATTGAATCCCCACAAAAATCCTATGGCTTAGATACTGACAATCCCATTTAACAGATGAAGAAATTGGAGCACAAAGAGGATAGGTGACTTGCCCTAGGTCACACAGCTGATAAATGGCAGAACTAGAATTCAATTCTGGCTGTTTCTGACTTCAAAGCCTATGTCCGCTGAGTTAGCCACTGAGCTACACTTCCCTGTCCAGTCTCTGAATTCCTAATGTTTCCCAGATCAGGAAGATGGCCCAAATTAAGATGGAGGAGGGGCGCCTGGGTGGCTCAGTCATTAAGCATCTGCCTTCGGCTCAAGTCATGATCCCGGGGTCCTGGGATCGAGCCCCGCATCGGGCTCCCTGCTCGGGAGGAAGCCTGCTTCTCCCTCTCCCACTCCCCTGCTTGTGTTCCCTTTCTCGCTGTGTTTCTCTCTGTCAAATAAATAAATAAAAATTTTTTAAAGACTTTATTTATTTGAGAGAGAGAATGAAATAGAGAGCACATGAGAGGGGGGAGGGTCAGAGGGAGAAGCAGACTCCCCGCTGAGCAGGGAGCCCGATGCGGGACTCGATCCTGGGACTCCAGGATCATGACCTGAGCTGAAGACGGTCACCCAACCAACTGAGCCACCCAGGCGCCCCAATAAATAAAATCTTTAAAAAAAAATTAAGACAGAGGAGATGGGAAAGAGAGCACAGCCTTAAAGGAGGTTAGGAAAGGGCATGCCAGGTGCAAGGGAGAGCAATGAGCATGCTGAGAGGTGTCTCTGGGCTCAGGGAGGGATCTCCCAGGGGGAGCAAGACACTAACATAGAGGTTCCCAAACTTTAGAGAGATAGAAATCATCTACTGTAAGAAGTCAGAGAGAGGCTTATTTAAAATGCAGACTCCCAGGCCTCACTGCCAGAGGTCTGATTTGATGGGTCTGAGTTGGGGACCAGGAATCTAATGTTAACAAGCTCCCTGGATCTAATGCAGATGGCCCAGGGAGCACAGTGTGAAATGTCCAGCAGGAACTTCAAGGTCAACATAAGACTTCTCTGTCTGCCCCTGCCCACCCCCCATTTTGGCATCCCTCTTTTCCTTCCCTTCCTGATATCCCAGATTCCTGGCTATCATGCTTCTCTCTGTGCCCAGAGACCCCAATGAGCATTACAGACCTCCCAGTCTTTGTTCCTGCTCTTTGTTCCACCTGGTATGACCTTCCTTTGCTTCGCTCCATCTCCCCCAAGAGGCCTCATCCCCTCTCCCCTTCCTTAGTCTCCCATCCCACAAAGGTTCAGCTTTTGAGAGTCTGTCCCCTCTTTATGAAATCTTCCCTAACAATAGGAACGTTGCTCTACTGCATCTATAAAATGGGGATGAAGAGCAAACAAGAAAATGTGCACAAGGAACATTGTAGGCACTCCATAAACAGTGGCTATTGTTTTTATACAATAACATACCTATCATTGTCCCCATTTTACAGTTGAAGAGAGTGAGGCAAAGAAGCCTTCAAAAACTTGCCCCAGACCACCCAGCTAGAAATTGGTAGTACTTGAATTTGAACTGAGGCATCATTGCTCAGCTTTAACCATCGCAAGACTGGCTTTCATAAGGCTCCAGTGAGAGACGAGATGCCAGGGCTCCAGTACAGCGCCGGGCCTGTGGTGGGTGCTCAGTAAATGCTGGAGACTGAAGTGGATTGAAAGGTTCAGCCAGGGAGCGGGGGGACATTACCTGAAGACCTCACTGACCATGACGTCTCATGCTTTTTATTTGACAAGACTCAACATCTTAAGATCTCTGATGAGAACAGGATATAAAAAAAAATAGTTCATGAAACAAAATTCAGAATGGTGTCCCACTCAAAGCTTGGTGGGTCCAAAGCCTGTCAATCTGTCATTGAGGATAATTGTGGGTTTTAACTTCAGAATATTAAGGTGATGGAGAGATACCGGGGAAGGAGGAAGGGTAGGGGGTAGTTGATCTGCGTGTTATTTTCTAATCAAGGTGCCACATGGAATGGAGAGCTTCCATCCTGACTCCAATTCTCTTTCAGCTCAGGTCATTAACCTCACGTACCCTCCTCCTCTGAGCTCCATACAAAACTTACGTAGACCAGAAAGCCTCCCATTTGAACCTAGGGTCTCTCTGTAGAGTTGGACAGCTTCCCGTCTGAACCGAATCCACGGGGAATCCTGTGGATCACATTTCTCCCAACATGGATGAGCCGTGAAAATATGCTAAGTGGAATCTTTGGTCTTGTCACCCTTCACAAAGCTGCCCTACTTTGGGTGGCACAGAAGTCAAGAAGACAACAGGAAGAAGAACGCTGAACAATTCTATTGGTCGAACCAAAACCCAACATATCAGGATTGACCCAAATCTCAGGAAAAATAAACAAGACAATTCCAGTTGGGTTACAGGACCCAACAGATAACAAGAGTCATCAGCAAATAAGACTAGGAGGCTTTCCGAAAATGGACAACTTTCTGAAACGCTTGTCGAAACTCTTCGTTAAACACAGTATATATTATTGGATTGATGAGGGAGTTGAGATAGCCAAGCCAGGTGAAGAAGTCAAAGAGGGCTGGGTGGAGCCAGCAGGAGTCCCGGCAGATGGGGAGGACCAGAGAGGCGACAAAGAAGGGCAGCCAGCAGATGATAAAGGCCCCTAGGATGATCCCCAGCGTTTTCGTGGCTTTCCTTTCTCGAGCCGCGGAAATCCTCTTGCGCTCCAGGACACTATCAGCCAGCTTGATTTTCACGTGGCTGAAAAAGAGAGCGGAGCCGGCAGTATGGGAGTGCCCCTCATGGAGGCTGGGGCTGAGCGAGCAGAGCGAGGACCCTGCAGAGCCCGTGATGAGGTGGGCCGTGGTGAAGCGCTTCCCGTAGAGCGAAGGCGGATTCAGGATGCGATTCCGGGCAGCCATGTAGATGCGGCCATAGAGGATGATGAGCAGCACAGAGGGGATGTAGAAGGCCCCGCAGGTGGAGTAGATGGTGTAGGAGATCTGAGACGTGTTCACCAGGCAGTCCGACATCTCTTCGTGAGCTTTGGCCTGCCGCCAGAAGAGTGGCGGGATGGAGATGCAGATCGAGATGACCCAGACGGTGGCAATCATGGCAGCCGCCCGGCCCGCTGTGCGGCGTTTACTATACTCCAGGGCATCTGTGATGGCCCAGTACCTGTCCAGAGCAATGACACAGAGATGCAGGATGGAGGCTGTGCAGCATGTGATGTCAGAAGACAGCCAGATGTCACACAGGATTTGGCCAAAGCTCCAGGTGTGGGTGGTGGTATAGACAATGCTGATGGGCATGACCAAGATGGAGACTAAGAGGTCAGTCATGGCCAGGGAGCCGATGAGATAGTTCGCTGGGGTGTGGAGCTTCCTGGTGAGGAAGATGGTAGTAAGCACAAAGGCGTTGGAGAGGGCTGTGGCCATTGTGATGATGGAAAGGAGCAGAGCAAGAGAGATCTTGAGGGCCTGGAGTGTCCCTGGACCCCAAGCCTCTGGGGTTTCTGTAGCATTCAGGGATCTGTTGGAGGCCTCCTGGAGAAGGCCTTCCAATGACTGGTTTGGCGGGGACATTCTAGGTGGCTCTCTCTTCCCACAGACTTGGACACACACAGCTCCCTTCACAGTTGTCCTGCCTACGGGACAAGGTCATCCTTCTGCTTCATGGTGGTGGGGGCCCTCCATCAGAACAGTGCACAGTGAAAAGACCTCAAGACTTGACTATTTGAAGAACAGTGAGGTGACAGCTGGTAGTTAAAGGTCTTTCCTAACCCGGATGAATCCCAAGATGTCTCACTATTCTGGAACTTTGCCCAGCAAATATTCAAGCCCAGGGGACACATGCTGGATTTGTTAGACATTTATCAGGATATCACACCAGTGTGGGCAGTACTTTGGGATTCTCGCTTTTGGCATTTTGGCTCCTTCCAAAGCTTGAGGGATAAATGTGTTTAATAAGAACTTCGGAATTTCCCCCACCCTATTCTGAGAAGAGTCTGGGTTTCAGGTTGCCTCTGGGGGGCTTTTAAAACCAGAGACAAACAGAAGTACCAGCAGATTCTGAGAAGTAGTCCAGTCAACAGCTCACCGTTTTCCTAAGTTCATCTTGACACATCATGAGGCACTGAACTTGGGGGTTCCTGTCCCACTGATCACTTTGAGCCTGAACAGACAAAACATTCTGGTTACCAAGACCTGAAGTATGCATGAGCTGGGAGAAGGCAAAACAAACCGATCACTGTGGGTTCATCGAGAAGGGCACATGTCCAGAGCTCTGGGGCTTAAAAAAGAAAAGAAGGCAAGAGTTAGGTTCTAGAAGGACATTGAGACACTCGAGACTAACTATAAGTTTAAAAGCATACTGGTTAATGTTGGCGGTGGCACGGTGAACCTAGCTTGTCAAAAGTGCCAGCAGAACACAGGGGAGGGCAACGGGTCCCACCCCCACAATTCCCAGAGGGGGCAGAGCTGCTGGAAGCATCACAGGCTTGTTATAAATACATGAAATCAGCTTTGTAAATTATGAATCAGAAACCATCATTCGATTTGCTCAGCAACAATGAAAACTAAACAAAATAACTCCGTGCACAGGAAAAAAAAAAAAAAAGGTCAACAGGAAAGATACCAAATTTTTACAATGTATTTCTCTAGGAATTGGGGAGGGGATTTCTTTTATTCCTAAAAAATTTTCCAATTTCCCTGAGTGAGCACGCATGATTCTTAAAACAAACACAAAAGCAAAAACAGAAAACACCTTTTGGCTAGCAGAGAAAATTAATTGCAAAAATTAAAACCCTGAGCATTTTTCCTGGTGAAAGTTCAGCTCCAGAAAATATAGTCAGCTTTCTAAATGGAAACTGGGAATGTCATCACAAAAAACCCCTCGAAGACTCATTTTCTCCTCTGTATGCCTCTGGCCTTGAATCTGGGTTTCAGTATTTGGGACATGGGCAAGCCAAGGGGTTCTTGGAGCTTGGGGCCCCTGGTATAGATGATTGGGGTAAGGTAAAGCACAGGGCACTCTGTGTAAGGCCCATCTCTGGCATGACCCCAGCTGAAGTCTGTGGGGCCTGCAGGTAGCCCCTGATGTATGGGGTTGACAAGAAGAGTACCAAGACCCCTTAGCCCCATCCACACCCCTACCACCTCTTCCCCTGCCTTATATGGAATGCTAAAACTCCACCAGGAATCCCTATGATTCATTTGATTTCTTCCAGGTCCCATCCTAAGAGTGTTCAAAGCCTGGCACGGGGTGTAGACATATAGCTTCAAGGACCCTGGGACGGAGCTGGCCAGGCAGATTTATATATACACACTTTTAAGAATTATTATTATGGGGGCCCCTGGGTGACTCAGTCATTAAGTGTCTGCCTTCGGCTCAGGTCATGATTCCAGGTCCTGGGATCGAGCCCCGCATCGGGCTCCCTGCTCGGCGGGAAGCCTGCTTCTCCCTCTCCCACTCCCCCTGCTTGTATTCCCTCTCTCGCTGTGTCTCTCTCTGTCAAACAAACAAATAAAATCTTAAAAAAAAAAAAAGAATTATTATTATGTATGAATTTGTTTCATAGTCTGTATGTTTTTCAACTTAATGTGTTTTGAACTCTGTTCCATCAGTCATTCCCATAACATCATGCTTAAGGGCCGTATATTGCTCCAATGGATGGCTACATTAAGAAGAAGGTTTCAATAGTCAAGATCAGGAGGGATGGCATTCCTGGTGGCTGGAAAGGTAAGAGCAAAGGGCCAGAGGTCAGAAAGTGCAAGGCCTGGCAAAGAGCCCAACTGGCTGGAGCAGAGAGAGCAGGGGTGCAGTAGCAGAGAAGGCTCAGGAGGGGGCTGGCGCCAGAGGTGGGAGGCAGCTGGGTGCAGGGGAGAGCTTGGCTTGGGTGGGACAGTCTGGACGCCAATCCCTCTTCTCTCCCCACCCTCCTGTATGACCTTGAGCAAGTCCCTTACCCCTTTCTGAGTCTCAGATTTCGTCTTCAAAAAAGCGGCCACCCTACCTGCCCCTCCGGGCTGTGGTGGAGCTTCCATTGCTCCTGGCAAGGCCAGCCTCTGAAACCCAGTAAACACTGAGCAAAGTCAAGACTCATTGCCAGTCTGACTGCCGGTCCCTACAGCTTGGCTCTGGGATTTGTTGGGAAGTTTCAGTCTGTGTCTGTTGATTGACTGGTTTTTAAACCATTAAGAACCTAGACTACTGCAATGCAATAGTTTCTCTTGCACTCCTCAAACTGTGGGGACTTTATCTTTGAAAAAAATATCTTCTGGGCACCTGGGTGACTCAGTCGGTCAGGCATCTGCCTTCGGCTCAGGTCACGATCCCAGAGTCCCTGCATCGGTTCCCTGCTCAGTGAGGAGCCTGCTTCTCCCTCTGCCCTTCCCCTGCTTGTGCTCTCTCTCTCAAACAAATAAATAAAATCTTTAAAAATATGTATCTTCCTAGAAGAGGGGAAACATCCTCAGTTTAAGAAAACAAATCTGTTGGTTTACTTTAATGTAAGCTCCACTCCAGCGTGGAGCCCAACACAGGGCTTGAGCTCACAACCCTGAGACGGACACCTGAGCTGAGATCAAGAGTCACATGCTTGGGGCGCCTGGGTGGCTCAGTTGTTGAGTGTCTGCCTTCGGCTCAGGTCATGATCTTGGGTCCTGGGATCGAGCCCCACATCGGGTTCTCTGCTCTGCAGGAGGCCTGCTTCTCCCCCCTCCCGCTCCCCCTGCTTGTGTTCCCTCTCTCGCTGTGTCTCTCTCTGCCAAATAAATAAATAAAATCTCTAAAAAAAAAAAAGTCAGATGCCTAACTGACTGAGCCACCCAGGTGCCCTAAGAAAACCAAACTTAATCCTAACCTGCTCAAGAACATTCCTAAAGTTTAAAAGATACTATTATTGGGGCGCCTGGGTGGCTCAGTCGTTAAGCGTCTGCCTTCGGCTCAGGTCATGATCCCAGGGTCCTGGGATCGAGCCCCGCATCGGGCTCCCTGCTCTGCGGGAAGCCTGTTTCTCCCTCTCCCTCTCCCCCTGCTTGTGATCCTGCTCTCACTGTGTCTCTCTCTGTCAAATAAATAAATAAAATCTTTAAAAAAAATAAAATAAAATAAAAAAATAAAAGATACTATTATTATTATGTCTTTCATACAGCTCTTGCTATGTTCCAGGCACTGAGCTAGCCCTGGGGCCAAGAGTCACCCACTGTGACGTGGGCAATATGGCCCCCACCTTACAAGTGAGCAGAGAGGTGACGTCACCTGCCGAAGGTCACCCAGCTAAAAGTGGAAAAACTGGGCCCAGAGCAGCTCTTGAGATTTCCATTCTTCTCCACACTGCCTGGATCAGGAAGAAAAGCCTTAAGGCGCATGTGCTTCCAGCAGTGAAACTGGTTTGGGGCCTCATGGTGATAGGTGAAAACGATGCCCTCTCCTGACCCTCTCACTCCGTGCTCCACCTCAAAAGCCTCTGGCTGAAGTTTTCCTCCCACTTTGGTTCACATGGAAAATGTGAAGTTGGGTTGGACTGTTTGGAATGTTCTTCCTTCCAGACAGACTAGGTGCAGTCATTTCTCATGGAGGGCTGTATGCCTGCCCCACAAACCCATGTGGCCGCCCCTTGGTTTCCAGGCATTCCAGTGACCTCACTCAGTGAAAGGCGTGGGCTCAGAAAGGCCTGGGAGGCTGGTGGGTGACATCTTAGGAAGGACAGCGTGGTTTGCCTTGGTCAGGAATGCTGAGCTGGAATTTTGAGGGAAGCCAAGTGCTTCTGAAGCTATCTCCCTCCTCTCCCGCCTGCTGTCCTTCCCCACCCTCAACAAAGTTGGGGGAATTTCCCATAATCCAGCTGCCTTTGGAGATAAAGACTGTAGCTCCATAAGCAACTGCCTCTCCTATCACACTTCAAATAATAAAACAAAAAATACAAATTAAAACAACAGTGAGATAGCATATTCACCCGGCAGACAAGTACAACATTTTAAATCTGATCATGCCGCATCATCCGTAAGGGCGTGGACCAACAGGAATTGTCACCTACCACTAGCAGAGTGGAAAGACGAGGAACCTCGTTAGCAAACAATCTGATATTATCTCATAAAGCTAAAGGTGCAGTGATTACCTCATGGCCCAGTAATTTTGCTCCCAGGTATACATCGCAGGGAAACTCTTGTGTTCATCAGCAGAGAGGAACAAGAATGGTCACAGTGGCATGGGCTAGAAACAAACAACTAGAAACCGCCCAAACGTCCATCCACAGCAGAGTGGTAGAATGTGGTGTATTCCTATGCCAGAGCATCATGGAGAAGCAAACCTGAGTAAACCAAAGCTGCATCCTGTGGGTGCTTCTCACAAACAACACTTAGTGCCGAAGTCAAAAACACGCACAAAGAAACAAAGTGTTTAGAGATATAAATATATGTTGGCAAAGCCATAAAGAAAAGCAAGGAAACGTTAAATATAAAATCCAGGATTGTGGTCACCCCTGGAGGGGAAAGAATGCAGGAATGAGATTGTGTAGGGGTTTTAAAAGTATCAGTGATGACGTGTTTGGTTTTTTTTTTTAAGATTTTATTTATTTATTTGACAGAGAGAGACACAGCGAGAGAGGGAATACAAGCAGGGGGAGTGGGAGAGGGAGAAGCAGGCTTCCTGCCGAGCAGGGAGCCCGATGCGGGGCTCGATCCCAGGACCTTGGGATCATGACCTGAGCTGAAGGCAGACGCTTAACGACTGAGCCACCCAGGCACCCCTGATGACGTGTTTTTTAAGGTGGTGGTAGGTACTTGGATGTTGATGATTATTCTTTGAACTGTATGTATATTATAATATGTACTCTTTTGCAGGGAATGATATATTTATAATTATTTCTCTTAGACAATCAATTTTGTACATTTGAGAAAAAAGGCAGCCATCCTACCAGCAATGACACGGATACAGCTTGATACAGTAATACCTGCTGATACATTTGAATCCGGAAGATGTGGGTTCTGGTCCCAGCTCTGCCACGGGCCAGCAGGTAACCAAGGATAAGTCATGACTTCTCTTGAACCCCCAGTGTCTTCCTGGGTAAAATGGGAATATAAGCATGGCTATGCTGCCCCAAAGGATGTTTAGTACTTCCAATAAGATCATGTATGTGAGGCGCCTGGGTGGCTCAGTCAGTTAAGTGACTTCCTTCAGCTCAGGTCATGGTCCCAGGCTCCTGGGATCGAGTCCCGCATTGGGCTCCCTGCTCAGCGGGGAGCCTGCTTCTCCCTCTCCCTCTGCCGCTCCCCCTGCTTGTGCTCGCT